TTTTTTTTTTTTTTTTAATCAAAAAAATTTTTTTGAAATTGACCAGAGAGAAACAGAGAGATTGAGAAGGAAAGTGAGAAAGCAAGCTACCAGGTCTGGGACTTGAACCGCAGTCGGCAATGTGGGAGTCCAGCGCCCTTAACCACCATGCTACCTGCCGGCTTCTTAAATGAAATAATTATTAAAAGGGAAAGGCAGTTGAACCAAGTGAGCAGAAGCAGTGTTAGCTCAGAAGGTTGGTGTAAGGGGAAGCATTTGGAAGGATTTAAGCAGGAGAGTGAGATGATATAAGGAGATTCCTTTGGCTGCGTGCCAGGGAGTGGGAGCATAAGCTTAGAGCCAGTGAGGAGGCTGTTGCAGTCATTCAGGCCGTGGGGTGGGGGGAAGTGTTTGGATTTGGGACATGTGTTGGAAGCGGGGCCACCGAAACGCACTGATGCGTTAGAAGTGGCAGATAATGGGGGTCAAGGACATACCAGAGATTCAGAGGCCTACACCCTGACCATCTGGCAGGTAGTATTTCCGCTAGCTGAGATGGGAGACCTGCGGCAGGTGCAAGTGTGGACGGGTTCAGAATTCGATATTTGGAGCCAGCTGGTGGCATGATGGTTAAGGTGTCTGGATCCTACACGGCTGACAGTGTAGGTCAAGTTCCAGACCCTGTCACCTGAAAAACACGCTGGGCACAAATGTATGCATGCCCAGAGTCCCAAGAGGAGAATGGAGAAGGGATAGCGGCGTGACCATTCACAATGGGAGGTGCTTTTTCACTCTCCTTCTGTCTCTGTGTCTTTGGCAGGTGTACATTATAGCAAATTTTAAAAAATTTGATATTTGGTCTCTGCGTCCCTAACTCTGCAGAGTCCTCTGCATCCTAGCTGAATGCAGAAGATGGGATTAGTTAACTGTCTATGAATGGGTATTTTACCTGGCGAGAGCGAACTCTCAAGGTTGGCCTTTAGACTTTGGTTTTGGTTGTGTGATCATTAGTCATATCCTAATTCTCTGTTCTGTTTCAAAACGACACACAGTTAAGTTGGTGCAATAGAGCTGAGTGAGATTGTGGTTGGATCAACACAAATGCATCCTCACCTGTGGACAGGTAGCTCAGAGCACACTCCTAAGTGACAGAACTCTGTGGCTGTCAAATATAAGGAGCATGTTACATAAAAAGCATTTGTTGGGTATTCCGTGTGTTAAAAAACTGTTGTTTTGGGATCAGCAGATGATGTGGTGGTTGAGGCACTAGACACTCCCACATGGCTGACCACAGTTTGAGTCCCAGACCTGGTGGCTTGCTTTCTCACTTTCTCTGTCTGTCTGTCTGTCTGTCTCTCTCTCTGTCTCTCTCTGGTCAAATTAAAATAAATGAATGAATGAATAAAATTAACTTAAATAAATATATTTTTAAAAATCACCTGTAGTTTAATTGGAAGAAAAAAACTTCAGAATTATCCCCCTAGTGGGCCAGCTGGTAGTGGCTTGGTTGAAGTGGCTGGATCCCATGTGGCTGACTGCATGGTTCAAGACCCAGACCTGGCAGTTGAGAAACATGCTGGATGTGCATGTGTGCATGCTCAGCATCCCAAGAGGAGAATGGAGAAGGGAATAGGGCACGGCCATCCCCTTTGATGGATGATTTCTCACTTTCCCTTTCTCTCTCTGTCTCTCTCAAGTAAGCATATTCACTCTGGCAAATTTTTAAAAATCATGCCCTTAGAACCTAGTTGAGAGAGACCGAATGCATATCTTTGAAATGGGAATAATGAAAAGCATTATGCCATATGGGGTGGTGTCTTTAAAAAGTTCATAGAATATGCATATCATGAAAAATCTGCATGAACTTCC